TGCAGCCGCGCGAGTGATAATGGGTGTACCCAGATACACCCATATTACACCTATCCTCCGCGAGCTGCACTGGCTCCCCATTGGCCTCTGGACCCGCTTCAAGGTGCTAGTCGTTACTTTTAAAGCCTTACATGGTACTGGACCTGGCTACCTGAGAGACCGCCTCCTGCCATTTACCTCCCAACGACCAATAAGATCACACAGGTTGGGCCTCCTCCGGGTGCCGTCGACTGGACAATGCCGGCTGGCGGCCCCCTGAGGGAGGGCCTTCTCTGTAGCTGCGCCGGCCTTATGGAACAAGCTGCGCGCGGAGATCCGGACCCTTACCATTCTCCCGGCCTTCCGTAAAGCGACCAAGACTTGGCTGTTCCGGCAGGCCTGGGGCTGTTGAGAAATAATCCAGCCCCACGTGATTGAATGGTGATTTTATTTTAAATAATTGTACTTTTATTATTCTATGTCTTTGCTTTTGTTGTGAGCCGCCCAGAGTCCCTAGGGAGTGGGCGGCATACAAATTTTATTAAAGTTACAAAGTTACAAAGTTTACTATGAGTTGATTAAACATCACAGCTGCTATTTGCACTTATTTATTTTACAGATGTTTTCATTATAGTGTTTTTGAATCGTTAAAATTATATTATAGTTTTAGAATTGTAAGCCATCCCAGAGTCACTTAGCTGAGTTGGGCCAAGAAACGTAATGAACAAACAAACAGGGATAATTTGAAGATTGCAGACATCCCTTCCAATGGTCATGGAGGCACTTACGCAATGAAATATCTATTTTTAAGTAACTTCATAAAAAGTTACTACTAAAAAAATGTTAAAAGTATTTTCAAGTGACATCAGAGTGTGACCATGATAACACTTTAAAAACCAATAAACTAGTCATGCTGTTACATGCCACAATACAACAGTTTGGCTTTATTCACAGGTGTTCTCACTACCAGAATTTCTATTAAATATTTTAATGTAGCCAGGAAGAAAAAATTGTAAAGATCTTCATCACAGAAGTTACATTCAGTTTTGTGTCTGGAGGTCAACTTGTACCAAAACAAGCTGAAATTGCGGCAACATACAAAAATAGGATTGTTCACTTAATGCCATTATGCACTTAATTTCTTTTTAAAATGAATATTAAAATACTCGCTAAAAAGATATTTGGTAATCAGTAACTACATTAACTACAGTATTGTTCATCTTTTCATTGCTAGGATTTGCCCAAAAGTATGGAGTATAAGAAACTTTTTACTGTAGGACTTGAAGTCCCAGATGATCCTACTATTCTACAGTTTAAAAAATGGGTCAGAAAATTCCTATGGGAAAATGCAGACAATGGTAAATAATAGCCTTTATCATTTCATTCTGGAGATCCGGAACAATTGGAAGTTGTGTATTTCTTTAGATTCCAACCATCATATAGGAATAATTATCCTTCTATACACATACTAGCTGTTGCCTGTTGCCCAGGTATTAATTTATCCTAATCCTGTATTAGACAGGAAAAGGAATGAATTATATCTATAATGTCGCTTGGCTCCCCCCCTGCCCTCGGCACATACGTGCACGACATTTTGGGCCTAGTACGCCTCCCTGCAGCCTCCTGGGAGCAAAAACGGTGCATGGGGGGGCTTACCCTGGGCTTGTGGGGCAGAGACTCAAAAATCAGCTGGCCAGGGGGATGCGTGCGCACATGTGCAGTGGAACTGAGCAGAGCTCTGCATGCCACCTGCATGCCAGGACACACACACACACACGCACCAAGGGGTGTTAGGGGTATCTTACCCCCACAGTATTTTTCTGCAGAGAGTAAGTCATCTGTATACCAAGTTTGGTTGAAATTGCTCAAGGCATTCATGAGTTATGCTGGACACACACAAATTTATATAGAGAGATTATTCTAATTAAAAAAACATCAACCATAGCCTGAGATAGATTTCTACATTCTACACAGAAGATGGAATGGTATGTCTTACACCCACACTTGGTTATGAAAGGCTGCTACTTTCTACATAATATACAGGTAGTCATCAACTTAGGACCTGACAATTATAGTTGTAAATCATAAAGTGGGTCAATCACATGACCAACCTGAATGTATGGCTCTTTTTTTTCCCAGTGGTCTTTAAGCAAACATGGCAGTTGTAAAGCTAACATTGTGGACGTTAAGCAAACCCATTGTACTCTAGGGCAGTGTTTCTCAACCTTGGCAACTTGAAGATGTCCGGACTTCAACTCCCAGAATTCCCCAGCCAGCGAATGCTGGCTGGGGAATTCTGGGAGTTGAAGTCCGGACATCTTCAAGTTGCCAAGGTTGAGAAACACTGCTCTAGGGGATGATTTTTGCCAGTAACCAAGAGTAACACCAGTTTATGGCAAAATGGTCATAAACATGGAGTGGTTCAAATGGCCATAAATGCGGGCCAGTTGCCAAATGCCCAAAATGTGATCACATGATTGCAAGTTGTAAGTAACTTTTGTGGCATCCATTGTAATTTTGAATAGTCGTTAAGTCAAAGGCTACCCAAACTGCATGGGGATCAACAAAGCTGTCATCTCTGGTGTCAAATTTAATAGCATAAAACTCCTGTAAACGAAACAAAAAGCTGGCTTAAAACTTAAGGCCACCCCTCTCATAATCCAAGAAGTGTTTAGTTCTATCAGTTTTGCCTCTTCTTGATCACACTTAGCAGGAGAGGTCATACTACCTCTTCCCGAATCCCCATCTTTTCCAGTTCTGAATCAACGTTTCAGAGAAATGTAATTTCACGAATCCACTAAAGAGCAATATTCTTTTTTTTTTTAAGCCCTGTTTTTTCATCATGCATTAACATTATACGTTTGCATTGTTTAATTTTCATTTTGCTTTTCCAATAGAGAAACTCATTGGAGTACACTGCACTAATGGAATCAATAGAACAGGTTACCTTATATGCAGGCAAGTGTCACAACAAGCATTAAATTAATCATTATTTTCACTGCAATGAAAGTTGGGTAAGCCATAACTGTATTTGTGTTCCTTTAGATATCTTATTGATGTTGAAGGTTGGGATCCAGAAACAGCAATCCAAGGTATTTGCGTGCCTTTTTTAACAGAATCCCAGGTTATGGAATATTGTTTGGTTGAATTAGCTGTTGTAACCGAGATTCAAAAAAATCACTTCCCAAAGTATCACATGTGAACTGAAGAGTTTCCCCCCCCCTGCTTTCGCTCTCAGGTTGATATCACAAAAATGAACTTCATGGAATTCCAGCAGGAAATTGAAAAATGGAAATGCCCTCCCTTCCTATATGTACAAAAGCACATCTATAACAAAAGGATAAATGTTTCATATAATTTCTTTAGGTAGTTCGGTTATGTTTAGTGACTTAATCAATATTAAGTACAATTTTAGCTTGTGCTTAAGTAGAAAAAATACTTTTTGGGAGGATGAGCTGCACAGTGTTTCTCAACCTTGGTGACTTTAAGTCCTGTGGACTTCAACTCCCAGAATCCATGGGAGGGGGATTCTGGGAGTTGAAGTCCACAGGACTTAAAGTCACCAAGGTTGAGAAACACTGGTCTAGGTCCTGATTTGCTAATCTCAGCTGACAGGAACATTTATATGAGAAGCATCCTTTTGCTGTTGTGGTTCTGAAAGAGTGATTTCTATAGCAGGATATTATCAAAATTTAAAGAAAACCAAGTCAGATTCTTGAATTACGTGTTATTATTGAACTTTTCCTCAATAGCTTGTCCATTTTTCATCAAGAGCCCTGTTTCACATAACTCATGTTCTTGCCATCTGTTTAGCTTTTGGAGAAGCGCGTGGTCACCATATGGATGGTCATATATATCTGACAGATCTTAAAACTCACCCAATGAGAAGGTGAGTCTAGTCCTATTCTCGTAGAATATGTTCCTTTTTCTGTTCTGACACATTTTAAATAAGCTTCGGTGTTTATTTTTTTCTGAAATTGATCACAAAAGGTAGAATAATCATTGCCTTTTTAAATATTCTATAAGTAGACCCCAAATTGAGAAGGTGGAAAACAAACGGTGAATCCTAAAAGATTTAGGAAGTTGATATGCTGATAGAAAATACCTAAAAGAGTAAGCCATTTCAGGGAAGACTATAGAAAAGTATCCTATAATCATTAGATTTATGCTTTATATCCTCCTGAGAACTTCTCCCTTCTTTCACTAGATAAAGTGTAATCACACAATTTTTGTCTTTTTTCATTGTATCCTCAGCAGAAAATGTGTTATATTCTCTTTTGAAATTCCTTAGCAACCTGGGGATGAATATGTGGGATGCTGATGGAGATGTTGTGCCACCGCCAGATGATATAGACAGACATATGGATCGATTTCCAAATGAAGAATATGCTAGGTAACTGCCAAAAATGTATTTGTCTTCATGTGGTGGTAGAATTGTATAAATCTAACTTGTATAACTTCACATACTTTATTCAACCCTGAGGGGACAATTATTTTTGAACATGTTAAAAATACTAATGCACTCATTGTCAAGCTTTATTTCGTATTTTCACACTGCTATTAGTAGTGCAGAAAACTGTAAGTAGGCAGTCAAAAGTAAACTTCATTCCTACATTTTTTTGCAGTTTTCTTTTGGTTAGCTGGAATCCTTACCGACAACTCACCAGCTTTCTTGCTGTCTCAACCTCAGCAGGAAAGCGAGGTTTTCATAGCCAAGTTCAAAGTGCTTTTCAGGGGAGTGAGAATTAGACCCTACGCATAAGTGTATTTACATGTACCATATGGGTCAGAGAAGATGTTCATTAAGGGCAAACTAAATTCTAAACGATTTTGATAAATTTACATTTGTCCCTTTAGAATTAAGTTTTTGTTAGTGTATATTATCGCTTGATTTTCTTACAAAATAATACTCTTTTTCCCTAGCAGGCCTGGTAAAAGACTAAGAGTTTATGATGATGGCCCCAATGACTTACCGGAACAGATTCGATTGAGAGAGTTTGATTTTATTAATAAGGGTCCTGGGCAACGTCGGAAACCATATCATGCCCACCAGTTTCATGATGACATGCAGTCACCCCAGCCACAGATAAGACAAAGGCATTTCCACGACCACCAGTTTCATGATGGCTGCCAAGAAGAAATGGAGATTAAAGATTTAAAATTTAGTACAAGAGAGCCAGGGCACAGATTTCAGCCTTTTGAAGACCACCAGCTTGATGATGACTTTCCAGGAAATGTATCAGGTGGAGACATTAATATGAACCGTAGTCAAATTCATAGACATTTTGCTGACATTCCTGCTTATAATCATAGGCCGACAGAGAGCCAGCTCAATGGAGGCCGAGGGGAAAGACAAAGACCATTTTACAATCGACAGCCTACTGATTTTCCGCCACCCTCGCAGGACAAAAACCAGTTGTTCCTGAACAAGAGACCTGTGGAAAGACTAAGGCTGTTTCAGAACTGTCCTGTTCATGATTATATCCACTCACCAGTGGGAGATTTTGAGTACGTGACTAGGGGATGTGGACAAAGAAGGATACCTTTCCTTGACCAGCAGCCTCACAGTGAATTACGAAGAAAATTGTCATTAGAAGAGTTTGATGATGAAGATTCCAATAGAAGAAGTAGACCATTCCTTGATAATCAGTCATACTGTGATTTTAGTGAGAAGTCACAGCTGGAAGATTTCCAAAACAGGGAACAAAGGCTGAATTTTTTTAATGATCACTCAGCTCACATTAATGAGCCATATGAGGACCATTCTGAAAGGTGAGAAGAATTATTGATTAGCTTCAATAATATTATATTATTTGTTCATTTTTTCTTTTAACTAACAAAACTGAAGATCATATAAATCAATGAAACAGGCTTTTAATTGGTTACTGATAGTTTGAATTACGTGTTACACAAAACCAGATGCAATTTTTAAAATGCATTTCTGTAAATCCATTCATACCAGCCAGTTTACATTTTTGATATGTGATTATATTAATGGAACCGGCAACCATCAGTTGCCAAGTGTTTGAATGTGATCACTTGACCATAGGGATGCTGCGACGGTCATAACTATGGGAAACGGCCATGTCACTTTTTCCTGTGCCATTGTAACTTTGAACAAGTCACTAAATGAACTATTGTAAATCAAGGACTACCTGTACACTGTAGATCAGGGGTGTCAAACTCACATCACGGCAGCATCTCCTGACGTATCAGGACTTTTCCCTTCCGCTAAATTGGGTGCGGGCGTGTGATGCATCCGGTCCGCGACTTTGATACAATTTTTTCCATCTTCTGATCTGTTTGTTCTGTTTTTGTTTCGATGTTCTGTGTTTTTTCTGTTCGTTGATTGCTAAGGCATTCTCCCCTCCCTATAAATTGTAAGCCGCCCTGAGTCCCCTCAGGGAAAAGGGCAGCCTATAAATAATAAACAAATGAAATGAAACAAATTCTGTATCCTTTCAATTTTGTCATCCACGTTTTTGATATTTCCTTTCAATTCTCCCATTTCATTTTTCATTTCTTCATGGTTCTTCCATGTCGCTTCATGATTTGTAGCCATCACTTCTTGGCTTTTCGTCAATGTCTCTTGTATCATCTGGAGCATCAATTGCATACTCTGCATTGTTGGTGCTGGTCCCGTTGTTCCTGCCATCGTTCCGCCTTTCTCCAGCCCCAATGCACTCTCAATTGGTCTTTTATTCGAGGAGGGAGTCAAGTTACAAGTACCCTATCAATTAATAGATTAGATTGTAATCAATCAGATTGCAAGTACAATTCCTATCAATTAATAATTGCAATGTGTTAAAAATCCATTGTTGAGAATTTCTGAGCCCAGAATCATTGGTTGCGTGTTCAACAAGTTCTCACTTGATGGTGCTGTTTTAATTCTTTCTTTTTTTTTCCTTAATCACTTTGAGGTCTGCTACGGAAGGTCCTGGGAAGTTAAAATAGATATTACTTTAGCTTTGTTTTGAGTTCTGATGTCAAATTAATTATTTTGTGTAAAGATTGTTCTAATCCAGAGGAACATTTCTGGAAGATGATGGCATATGGTATGGATAGGATAGATACAGATGGCATAACCGAAGAAATCTTTAAATATGAATGTGCTTTGCTTACAAAACCAACTGTGCTTGGGAATTGGTTTCATTCTAATATCCTGCCAGAGGTTTGAACCCTGCTGTCCTTTAAACGAGCCCGAATGTCTTGGCTCTTTTCCCAGACTTTGGGCAAAGGTGGGGATATGGCTTCCCTGTGTGAAGAGTTTTGTGTCTGATCTATGTTCATCTTCCTTTTTTGTTGTCTGGTGTTATTCTGTTTCTTTGTGCACCACCAGAATCACTGGAGTGCAAATTACAAAATCTAAATGATTTATAAACAAATAATGAAATGAAATGCAAGAATAAATTCAACACTTAGCACAAACTTCAGCATCAAGCAGAGAATAAGAAGGGATGTGTTATGTCTCTTTGGTTGTGTCACATATTCATGGATTTATAAGGAATGCTTGTGATGATGCAGAGATGTGCTAATTGGGGACATGAATTACGTGAATTTTTATATGAAGAAAATGCCTTGTTGAGATCCTGTATAATTTGTAGCTAATGATAGGTAAATAGTATGATTGCAACAAGATGTATCCAAAAATTAAGGTATTAAATACCAAGTAAGTTTTGGAATGAATGACTGCAAACTACATCTAAATGTGGAAAAAATTCAGGTAGATGAATTTGTAACCTTTGCTAGAATGTTTTGTAAAGATAGGGAAATGGAGAAATTTTAAGACATGCAATTACTAGTAGAAAAATGTGGCACTGTGTTCTCTGTTATGAAAATATTTCCTGAAAACTGTCTAAAACACGAAATGTAAAGGTTGAATGCAATGAGAATAAGTTACTAAAGTTACATGACAAAACGTGAACAGGAATGAATGGGTACTGAATGAATGTGGATTGACTACTAAATTAAATTACCAGTATGAAAAAAAAAAACATATTGAGGAAGTTTGATCTTATGGAAGGAAGGAAGGAATTGTACTGCAATGTGCTCTACATGGGGCTGCCCTTGAAGAGTATTCGGCGACTTCAGCTAGTCCAGAATGCGGCCGCGCGAGCGATTGTGGGTGCACCTCGTTTCACCCACATAACACCTATCCTCCACGAGCTGCACTGGCTACCTGTCGGTCTCTGGGTACGCTTCAAGGTGCTACTTGTCACCTACAAAGCCCTTCATGGTAGTGGATCTGGGTACTTGAGAGACCGCCTACTGCCAATCACCTCCACTCGACCAATTAGATCTCATAGATTAGGCCTCCTCCGAGTTCCATCTGCCGGTCAATGTCGACTGGCAACCACACGGAGGAGAGCCTTCTCGGTGGCAGCTCCGACCCTTTGGAACGATCTCCCCGTGGAGATTCGTACCCTCACCACCCTCCAGACCTTCCGCACAGCCCTTAAAATCTGGCTGTTCCGTCAGGCCTGGGGTTAAAGACCGTAACCCACCCGAATTGTATGAATGTTGTGCTTTTTAATGATGTACTGTCTTATGTGTTAATTGTTTGTTCCCCCCCCCCTTTTTCGAGTTGTAAGCCGCCCTGAGTCCCCCCAGGGAAAAGGGCGGCATATAAATAAACTAAACTACAAACAACTACAACTAAATTGTGAGCAAAATATATGAAAGAAGACTGAACAAGCCACAGAATAATTTGTGTTGGATGAAATTAATGATATTTTTTTAAAGGTGGGAAGTTTATTAATTTGACTTTTCTCCTGGGTGTAGTACTTTATAAGTAACTTAGCTACATACATACATACATACATACATACATACATACATACATACATACATACATACATCTTCCTATTTTCCCCACAACCACTGAAAGACTGACTGGCTCAAAGTCAGCCACACAACTTTCACGCTTAAAGTGGGACTATTGTTTTTCATTACTTCTAGCCAATGCCTTAACCACTACACCAAACTGCCTTTCTGGATCAAAGTTTAAAGAATAAATGACAGTGTATACAGCTGTATATAAATATTATGGAAGCAAATAAGTCTAGAGATCTAAGATGATATCGGCATAAATTAGAGGTACTAACTTTCCTTTTCATTTCTTATCTCATTTCTTTGCCTTGTATTTTCTTACTTCCCAACCACAACTGCAGTGATTCACTTAACAACTGTGGCAAGAAAGGTCATAAAACGGGGCAAAACTGTCTCATTTAGCAACAGAAATTTTGGACTCAATTGTGGTTGTAAATTGTGGATTACCTGTATAGTATCACACCTATTTTTTCTTCATTACATACATTCTTTTAAGAATTTATTCTTTTGGGTCCTTGGATTTCTCTAAGCTTGATGGTCTGCTTGTAGAAATGTCATTACCCAAATAGGTAACATAATCAAAGCTAGTGAATGTGGGATATGCTCCCTTTTTATAGAGTAGCTTCTCAGCCAGTGTGGTGGAGATGTGATTTTTTCCCCCCTTGGCAGTTTATTGATTAGAGTATTATATTCTGCTGAAAAGGTTTATTCTTTTCCTTTCAGAAGCTATCGTTTTCCTTCTCATGAGTACTACACAGAATCTCCCTTACTTCGGAAAGATTATGGCTCTGATAAAGATAATTATAGTAGAACTTGCAGGTAAAATTGTGATTATCAAAATTTATTATTATTTTGGTTCACTAACTAATTAAAATTGGTTCCAGGTATGCTATTTAAAGGCCTAATGTAGCCCAGTCCTGAAAAATGACATACATTGTAAAACTGTATATAGTTTTTCAATTTTAACAAGAAGACAGTCTTTTAAGAAGACAATACATCATTTGAAAGGTTTGTTTCTGGTTATATGAAAACCTTAGCTAACATTCAACTGTTGAGTTCCGTTTTGATGTATTCTTAATTTAATCCGAGAGGGCAATATTTATTCCTAAAAGAGGTGTGATCACAAAAAATGCATATAACCCCATAAACTTAAATTCTAGCAACGCAGTCATATTCATATCGGCATTTCATAATTAGCACTTCCCATTCCATTTTTTGCAGAGGTCACTAAGCAAATCATCATGTGAGTCTGGGGTCATTAAGTCAATCCATTGTTCACTATGGGCCAGTTTTGCCAAAAGTAGGAATTAAACAGTTTTGTTTTTTTTAGCAAAAAGTTGTAAATTGCAGCCATGTGACATTGAGATGCTGCAAAAGGCCATAAATGCAGGCTGGTTGCCAAGCACCCAAATACAGTCATGTGATTGGGGGGGGGCAGCTGTCAGAATTTAAGAACCGGATCATAATTAACTAACTCTTGGAACAGTCACTAAACAACTGGTTGAAAATTGTGAAATACTTGTAAATTGACAGTTCCGTGTGAGTAGATTTAAGGAATGTTTTCCAAGACATACTGTACATGAAGCATGTCCCATGTTATTAAAAAGATTAAGAATCCTTCTAGAGAGGATACGGGGCAAATTGGAATCTTTCCATACTTGAGCATCTGTCCCATCACATATTTCAGTAAAACAGCTTGAAATTAGAAAGCCAATGACAAAGGATTATCACACAGAACCTGTAATTAGTATAATTTGAAAAAAAAAGGCATTTTCTACATTTATTCTGAAAGACTCTTTCTCTAAAGAATATCCCGTAAAATCATGTACATTCTGATATGTTTCTTTGAATTAGCTATTTGTTGTTTCAATAAAGTAAAAGCAATGTTTGTATGTCTCCTTGCTACAAATTACTTTGCTCACAACATTTGATTAATAATTGTTTTCATATTATAGATCTGATTGCCCTGACGATTACAGGAAAATCCATCCTTCGGAGGTAATTAACAGAGGAGGAAAAACTAGATTTGTTCCGTATTCTTCTCACCCAACCCTTCACTCTTCATCTTCACATCAGGAACTGAGTTCAATCTCATTGTGCAGTGGAAGGGAATATGAGTGTGAAATTAAGAGAGAGGTGAGCCAGGGGAAAAGATTACCGGTTGTAACAATTGATTATAATTATGGCTTGCCTTTAGACTATGCTTCTGAAGAGGAACACAGAGCTCATTATTATTCACATGCAACAGAGCACTACATTTTGAAATAAATTGGATGTGTACTTGCATGCATTATTTTATAAACAACTTCCTGTATATTGACAAAATTACTTCTGAAGTTAAAAAAAAAGCTTCATTATCATTCAACATTACAAAAAGTATCTGTAACAAGTCTAGTTCTGTTTTTTTCATATTTAAATGATAAATAATTGGCGAAAACAAGGCCTTTTATGTAAAATCAAAGTAGGTTCTCACTCATGAGATTGAACAACCATAACCATGAATAACTGCAAATTGTTCTCCCTGCTTTCCTCAACATGACATGTATGAAATGTTTCAGCTAAAATGTAAGAAAACAATTGAATTACTGATTTTAATAGAACGTTGCTCTAAAATAAAGCAGGTTTTGAAAGGAATGGAAAATATATAAAGATTTAAAAAATCAGTTCTAGTTAATGTGGTTTATTTTTTTTTTTGATAATCTAGTTTTTTCAATATTTCTTTTGAAAAATGTGCATGTAAATATTGTTTCAGGGGGGGAAAAACTGTCGCACTAGAAAAGACAATAAACTTGAGATTTGTGTTCAGTTATATCTATATTATATCAAGAAGACATGCCTGGAAGATTATTATCCTACATAGCCAAGCGGTCCGTAGTATTCATTTGAGGAGGCTATTTATATTTTGATTATATATATATATATATATATATATATATATA